AAATAAGCTGGAGAGGAAGCCCCAGGAGAAAGAGTTATCAGCTGTGTAGGAGGTAGCCCCCATTCATCAGTGAGCTAGTGTACAAGGGAAGACAATAGAAGATTGAGAGAAATTTTTAAGTACCTACATAGGCCACCAAAATGATGGTCTCTCATGGGAAATTCTAGCAGAGAGCTCTCAGAGCTCATTTGTTGGTTCTGGGCCCCAGCAGGTGACAGAGAGAAGCACCCTCAGGGTGAAGGGAGAGAGGAAAGGGAAGCACAAAAGTGATGATGCATATATTAGTAGTGTGGTCTTTATTTTTACAAAATGAACATATATTTCCAGGAAAAGTCAGATACAAAATTCACAAATTTTTTCATAAAACATTAACAGCAACATACAAAATGGTACAATGGCAAGATTTGGGCATTCTCCTAGCTAGGAGAGAGGCTGCTCTTTTTTTTTTTTAACGCCAATGGGAGCTTGTTTTTCTTTTTATTTATTTCATTCTGTTTATTTATTGATACATTTAGATACAATGATAATATTCATCATAGGGCATTTGTACCATTACATATCTTTCTTTTTTTTTCTTTTACCATTCCTCTCCCCTTCCTTCAAAACCTTTTCAACTCATTTACAAAGGCTTTGTTTCCATCTTAGCTCTTGTTTTTTCTCCCCCACCACATTTGTTCCCCTTCTCATTTGATCATTTTCTTGCCATTTTTGAATATCTATGATACATTTTCTCTCTTATTTACACTTTTGGTTTCTCACACCAGAGAAACAATGTAGTACATACATATGTGTGTCAATTTATTTCACTTAAGAGTATGGTCTCAAAGTGTAGCCATTTAGCTGGAAATGTCTCTAATTTATCCTTCCTTGTGGCTTGGTAGAATTGTATTAAACACACACACACACACACACACACACACACACACATCTTCTTTGTCCATTCATCACTTGACACACATTTGAGCTGTTTCCAAGATTTGGTTATTACAAATGGTGCCACTATAAACACTGGTGTGCATGTATCCCTGTGGTATGACACTTGTCATTCTTTTCACAAGGTACAAAGAAGAGGAATAGATGGGCCAAATGAAACCGCTAGGTACAGTTTTTTGAGGACTCACCACACTGATTTCCATAGCGTTTCCATGAGTCTACACTCCCACTGACAGTGGAGAAGGGTGTTTTGTTTTGCTTGTTTTTATTACACAACCCTGCCAGAATTTGTTATTGGTTTATTTTTTATTGATATCCATTATTTCTGGAGTGAGGTGAAATTGCATGGTTGTTTTCATTTACATCTCTCAAGTAACCAGGAATGTTGAACATTTTTTCATACAATTATTTGCAGTTTCTACTTCTTCATCTGAGAAGTGTTTATTCATTTCAGATGCGCATTTTTGGACTGGGTCTTTAAATTTGGGGGCTCTCATTTGCATTAGTTCTTTACATATTCTAAATAGGAATCTTTTGCCTGAGGTACAGCTGGCAAAATATTTTTTACACATTTCCTTATTCCGTTAGTGGTTTCTCTAGCTGTGCAAAAGTTAGTAAGATAAGATTTCAGTTGTTTATTCTTTGTGACAGTTCCTGTGCAATCAGTGTTTTGTTCATAAAACACCTGGTATTCTAAAAGATGAACACCAGGGGCCAGAGAGATGACTCAGTGGAATAAGCACTTCCCTGGCAAGCGCAAGGGCCTGAGTTCAATCCCCAGTTGGGCAAAAAAAAAAAAAAAAAGTAAAAGATGAACACCAATGTCTTTAAAAGTTCTAAATATTCTGTCTTTCAGCAAATTTAGTGTTTCTGTTTTAATATATAGATCTCTGATCTATTTCTATTTTACTTTAGTGCATCATGAAAGATATGAGTCTAGTTTTAATCTTTAGTATGTGGGAAGCTAGTTTTTCCTGCATCATTTACTAAAGAGGCTAAATTTCTTCCAGTGAAGGTGTTTGGCTTCTTTGTCAAAGATAAGGTTGCTGGATAGATCTGAACTTGTTTCTGCATCTTATAATCTGTTTCATTTATCTCTAGGTCTGTTTTACTGTCAGTACCATGCAGTTTTTTATCACAATAGTTTTGTAGTAGAATTTCTACTGAGTGATTTCCCCTGCCTTCACTTTGATGTCCAGAACTGTTTTGCCAGTCTAGGTCTGTTCTGGTTCCAAATGAATTTTGGATTGGTTCCTCTAATTCTATGAGATATATTATTTAAATTTTGACCAGGATTGTGTTAAATCTGTATAACAATTTTGGACATAAAGCCATTTTCACTATATTGGTTCTTCCTACCTAACAAGGGATATCTTTCCTTTTTCTGACATCCTGTTTGTTCTCCTTTCAGAGTACTGTAGTTTTCAATGCAAAGGTCTTTTACTTCATTGGTTAGGTTTACTCCCAGGGTTTTTTTTAATGCCACCATGAGAGGTGTTTTTTCCATAATTTCAATTTCAGTAAGTCTTTTCTTTGTGTACAGGAATGCTATTCATTTTTTGAATGTTGACTTTGTATCCAGGTATGCTATTAAATTTATTTTTTATGTTACTAAATTTAGTTATTAAATCTAGAAATCTTTTGGTGGAGTTTTGGGGTCTTCTATGTAGAGTATCATGTCATATGCAAATAATGATAATTTAACTTCTTCCTTTCCTATCATTATTCTGCTGATATCTGTATTATTTAGTTGAGCACATTGGTATTTATTGAATATATTTTTTATGATTTTACTTCTTTCTCTTGGTTTGTTCTCTTTTGAGGATGTAGTGGTCATCCTCATCTCTCTTAATCACATCTGGCTAGAAATTCATTTTTTCTGCAAATAGAAGAGCTGCCCCTGTTTTCTTCTGGGTTCCTGTCCCATGGAGTTTTGTTTTCCATCCTTTGACTTTCAGTCTATGCTTTTCTTCTTGAATTAAATGTGTATTTTTATGCAGCACATTGCCAGGTCTTGCTTTTTGATCCATTTGCCAATCTTTCTTTTGATAGGTGAATTGAGCCCAATAACTTTGCCGATTATAACTGATAGGCTTTGACTCATCCTTGTCATGTTATTTCCCTGTTCTTGGTTCCCATTTTCCCCCACTGTTTACCTTGCCTGGTGGATTCATTTTCTTGGGGTTCATGAGGTGTAGTTCTTGTCATGTCTCTTTAGAATGTGCTTGATAACATTGTGAAGCGCTGGTTTGGTGGTCATGAATTTCTTCAGGTGTTGTCATGGCAGTATCTTATTTCTACATCAATTTGGAAAGATAGTTTTGTGGAGCACATCAATTTGGTTTGGAGGCTGTTTTCCTTTAAGGTTTGAAATATGTTACTCCAAGCTCTCTTTGACTTGAAGGTTTGTTCTGAAAACTCTGATATGATTCTATGAGCTTTCTTTTATAGATTATTTGGTTTTTTCTTACAGTTTTTAATATTCTGTTCTTGTGTTGAATTTCTGAAATCTTAGCTATTATATGCCTTGGTATAGTTTTTTTTTTATCTTGACTAATTGGAATTCCATATGCCTCATTTATTTGTATGTCAAATTCCTTTTCCCTGCTTTGGGAGTTTTCTGCCATTAGTTCTGTGAACAGGTTTTTGAGTCCTCAGTGCTAGCTCCTTATTGACTCCACTCAATCTTATGTTATCCTTCTTTGCATCATCTAGTAGCTGCTGGATTGATTTCTCATAATCCTTTGGTTTTTATTTTGTTTCATCTTTTGATGTTTTTGTTTTGTTTTGGTTTGGTTTGGCTTATTTTTGTACTGAGGATTGAACTCAGGACCTTGCACTTGCCAGGTAGACATTTATGCTGATGGGCTATATGCCCTCCCTTGTTATTTTTAAGAAATTTTTGTTTTCATGAATGTTAACCACAATCCTGTAGTCTAAGTCGGATATTTTGTCCTCATATTGGTTCATTCTACTGCATACACTTTCAACGGAATTTTTTATCTCATAGATATATGTTTGAATCTGTTTTATGAATTTTATTTCTTTCCTATGTTGAGCATTCATGGTTTACATCATTTTCCTAAACTCCTCTTTTTTTTAAAATCCATATCTGCTCTAGAGTTACTAAGCATGTCTTCCATTATAATCACCTCGGTACTTATCTGAAAAATAATTTCCAATTTGACTCTTTTTCTACAGCTTTGTTCATTTGTTTTCTGACCTCCGCTCTCACCAATTCAGGAAGTCGATATAAATGGCTTTTTATTTTAAGTTAAATTCCTGGGTGAATGCTTCTAAATTGTTTGTGGCAAGTAGATTTATTGCTAGTATTTTGAACCTTTCAGAAATGACTACTCAGATATGTCTGTCTTCCCAGTATAACTGGATTTGGGTTTTTGTGGGTGTTTAAAAATCCTGCCTCTTCTATTTAGTAGGACTGAATACTTCATTCAGCCTCCGGCTTTTTGGCACTGGCTTATAATATTGTTTATGATAGTTAGGCAATCTCAGTCTTGGTATAGAAGAAAGAACAACTGTGCCCCACCACTTGTTATGCTGTCCCCAACCCCAGACATGCAGAGCTGGCCACTGAGACTGAACATGGTGGCCTACACTTGTAATCCCAGTGCTGGGAGGCTGAAAACAGGAAGATTACTATAAGTTCAAGCTGGTAGTAAGACCCTGTACCAAATACATTAATAATAATAATAATAATAATAATAATAATAATAATGAAAGAACAACTGATTAGAACAATTATGTCACATTGCCTAAAGTAGTACAATCAGCAACAATAATGGCATGAAGCACAGCCTATAAAATGACAAACTATGGTACCTATTAATTTGCCACTTTAACCATATGAACTAGATATGTGATTATATAAAAATATCTAAAGTAAACCTTAAAATTATGTACAGTCAAAAAGTGCTATGAAAGCTTTAGAAAACTAGAAAAGATAGGGAAAAAACAGTAAAGGAAGAAATAAAAACAACATCAAAAAATTAGAAACCATTTTTACACTCAGAAAAACAAGAACAATCATGGAAGACAAAACGAATATAAAAACAAAAAAAAGGGAAAAAATGTCCATCTCAATGTGTGTCTCTGCTGTCACTGGTGGACAACATGGGCAGAGTCCAGATTTGAGCTGCTTAACTGAAGCAATCCAGCCATATTTTTACAGCAGGGCAGTGGATCATCTCAGCAAGCCTGTACCTATAGCTCCATTGAAGTTCGGGTTGGTTTCTGGCTGTGAAACTGGAACATGATCTGTTCAGTTGCAGGCTCCGTACCTACTGAGCCTTGAACTCAGCTCCTTGACATCCTACTAACCTGAACTTGGCAGCCTCACCCTGACACTGGGAGCCAGTAGATGGAGCTGGCCCACAGCTCTTTTGAGTTCTGAGCCCAGCGACACCCCACTGTTTCCACCAAAGGTGTCTTTTAGGCCTTTCTGGACTCAAGTCTAACAATGTAACTAAATCTCTGAAGACCACTTTTTTCCAGGAACCAAAGCATTGCCCAGGGACATTCCCTTTCATTTCATCTCAGCCTTCTATCAACTCCACATGACAAAGGAGCGCAAGTCTCATTCCTGCTGCTGATGTCCTTCTGTGCTCTCATCACCTTGTGCACATTTTATCTTCTGTCCTCAGTCTGCACACCCAGTCCACAGCCCACAGTGTTCCATGGCACACAGTATTTGTACACATCATGTGTTCAGCCAGGTTGGGGTCTTCATCCTGGTCGTATGCTGTAGTTTGCTAAGCCATCCACCTATGCACAGGCACTGGACTTAAAGCAAAATCTGAGCTTGTTCCCATCCTCCCTTTCTTCTTCCAGGTGGGCTTTGAGCCTTCTGATTACACATTTGCATCCTGCTCTCCAGAGGAACGGAGTGTATCACAGTCCCCAGGGCTGTCAGCTTCCCTGCAGCCCTGATGTAGCCAGGTATATGTGTACATACAGAGGCGGACAGAAGGCATCTGACAAGTGTGTCGGTAATTCCCATTATGGATAAGAAAACTAAGAACCAGAGGGATCAAGTCTCTCCTTGTGGTCACTCATCTGACAAATGGCAGAGGTCATGGTGCCTGACTCCTTGTCAGTGCTCAGCTAGCCACAGCTCTCTGCCCGGATGGTCACTTCGAGGCATGGACAGGCAGTCAGGTAGGTGCACCTCACTTCTCCCATCCTTGGTCCATGAAAGGTAGAAACACAGCTTCTCCCTCGAGAGTCCTACGTCCTGCAGGCCAGGCTGTCAGCTCTTGACAACTGGGCCCTTTCCCAAGGCTGCTAGATCGAAGCCCAGAAGACAGCATCGCCGTGGCACAAGCATCCACCTCTTCCCTTCTACAGCTGATTAACTTCTGCGGTGAGTTGGTTATTTTCTGAAATTAATTTTCACCAACAATCATTAGATGTTTCTAGCAGTAATAGTGGTAGTAAAAATATCACAAAAATTCTTTTTTCTTTTTTTTTTTTCTTTCTTTTTTTTTTGTTTAGGTTAGGAGCAAAATATATTTACTGGGGGAAAGAAAGCTTCTGTCTGAGAGAGAAAGACAGAGGGGTTGGAGTGGGTTGCTCAAATTAGTTTTCAATTTTTTTTTATTTATTTAGTACAGGGCCTACAGGGTCTCACTGCATAGATTGGACTTGCAGTGATTCTTCTGTTTTCAGCCTCCCAAGCACTGGGATTACAGGCACGCACTACCATGCCCAGTCTCAATCTCTGTCTCAGCCTGCCCTTAGGATGGGGCGGCATGGCATGCTGGGGACTGAACCCCAGCCACTGCATTCTACCTAAGCAGGCACTTTAGTCCATTGAGCTATCTGGCCAGTCCTTCAATATTTAAAAATCAAGAGACTTCTCCTAATAATCTGGGTTTCTGGTTTTATTGTTTAAAACTTGGGAGAGTTCACATCACTGGTTCACCTTCCCTCTTGGTTGCCAACTGCTACCTCCTTTAGCTAGAAATGTTGGTCCTGGGCACCATCATATCTTCCTAGCGAGTTGTATTCACTGTGCTGCATCTTTTTCTCTTTCTTCCTTTCTTTCTTTTTCAGTACCTATTTGGCCCAGAGGCCACAGCTCACAAATCCCACTTTCTGTGAAGCCTACAAGGCCACTGATGAATTACTAACTCAGGGCCATTGCTATTCTTGCTAGCTACCTTGGAGTGGAATATGACCACTGGAAGAGAAAGAGTAAAGTCAGTCACAGAAAGAAAAAAGAAGAAGACCCTTTAGCATCAAAGCCCCCACCCCCATGGAGCAATTACAGGTGAAAGAAAAAAATTTTAAATAGAGATAAAAGTGATATATTTTTCCTTGCACATATAGTCTTACTGTGGACTGTTACATGGTGCTATAAACTTGAATGGAAAGACATTCTTAGTTGTGTATTTCGGAGTACAGCCACACTCAACTATAAAATTGTAGATGTAGACATGTAACGCTTCATCCATACAGATAAATAAGCACCCACTTGCTGGGAGTTATTGAAGAATTATCAAGGTTTCTGACTGGTAATTTTCTATAACTTACTTGGAAGACTGAGGAGATTTTATAAGGATGTCCAAAAAATCACTTTTTAAACATTTTGAGGATTACATACAAATAACACAATCCTGGAGAACAGTGAGGCTGTGCTGGAGTTGAGGCAGAGAAGGCAGATGGTGGTGGCAATTTACCACTCCAGAATGTGTTTAAACATTAATGATGTATCTCTCGTGTAGCACTGTGGGACACTGCATAGATCAGAGAATGTCTACTTTAACAATCCAGAAAATGGAATAAAAGTAAAAATTCATATGGAAATTTGTGTGGGAAAAGACATCAGAGTGATGTAGGAGAGATGGCAAAGGAGAATAGAGAAGCAAAATGTGCCCAAAGGTGTTGCTGTCTATCAGTTGGAGATGGAACTGTTCACACTGTCATAGAATCTTCACTTCTCTGGCCTCTTCTAAGCTTTTTGTTTTCTCCAAAAGCTGTTTTAAGGCAATGGCTCACAATGTACTAGGATTCCTTGAAATTCTTGCCAGTTTAGGACTCTTCTTATTGACCCCAAATCCTATAAAACATTGACCTTTTATAGGTTTTTTTCCCCCCTGCCTCTACTCTGTTCCTTACTAAGAAGGCTGAAGGTCTTGGGAAGATTTTAATACTCCTGATACTGAGAAGAAAAACTCTCCTGGGTCCTGGAATAGAGGACCAGAAGGGGGAAAGTGAAGGAAGAGTTGGAAATGTAACAGGCTGGGAGTAGAGGGCAAGCATGGGTGACCTGAGATAGCAGAGGAATCATAAAGTATGACCAACTGGTGGAGCATAGCTGTGGAGGGCTGGCCTTTTCACCATATCTGGAGAAAAAGGAGCTGAAGACCTGCTTCAGCCAGGAGTGCTCTTCTACTAATATGATAACTTTGCATTTAGTTCAAAGATTCCTCTTACATTGCAGATTTCTATTTCTATGATGGCAGAGCAGCACCAAACAGATCAATCTTCTTCAGATAACAGCTTTTTTTAAATGTATTTTGTACAGGGTCTCACTACACAGATCAGATTCATAGTGATCCTCCTGTTTTCACCCTCCCAAGATCTGGGGTTACAGGCATGTGCCACCACACCTAGTCTCAGTTGCACCACCACACCCAGTCTCAGTCACCCTCTCAGCATGCACTGGGGTTGGGGCCAGCACATCTTGTGGTACCTGGGATCGAACCCTGGTCCCTATGCTCTGCCTAAGCAGGAGCTTTAGTCTGCTGAGCTATCTTGCTGGCCCTGATAACAGCTTTTCAAACTGACCAAAATATGCAACCAGATTCCTTAAGTCTTTGGAAACTTGGACTTTTGGAAAAAGGGAATGTAACTGAGTGAACACTACTTCTCCTCTTGAATAGCTCTTTGCTTGAAAACAGGTCCCACTTGGAACTTTGAAGAGTGTCAGTCTTACTGTTTTAAAAAGCAAAAGCAGGGGCTGGTGAGATGGCTCAGTGGTCTAAAGCACCTACTTAGAACAAGCTTAGCAAAAAAGCACAGGGACCGTGGTTCAATCCCCCAGCACCACATGCCAGCCAGCCCCGCCCCCTGGTGGGCCGAGCTGGCCACACACACACACACACACATAAATAAATAAAATTAAAAAAAAAAAAGAGCAAAAGCAGCGATGTGTACAACATTGAAATTAGAAAGCCTAGAGGACAAGGGTCAGCCAAATATTTCAGCAGATTAAAGCGCCTGCTTAGGCTGATGCTGGGGCTGGGTGTTTGATCCCCAGGCTTGCCTTGCCAGCCCTGCCCCTAGGGCAGGCTGAGACAACAATTGAGACTGGGTGTAGTAGCACGTGCCTGTAAACCCAGGGCTTGGGAGGCTGTAAACAGGAGGATCATTCCAAGTCCAATCTGTGTAGTGGACCCTGTAGACCCTGTACTAAATACAAAAAAAAAAAAAAAAAAAAGGAAAAAAGCTGAGAGGACAAATCCCCAAAGGGAGAGAGCTAAAATGGGTGAGCTACATATTTTACACACAAATTCTATCCTTCTTGAACTGTGCACAGTGAAATAGACTAATAGATACCAACTGCTATTGCATAGGAGAACAAGGTTTGGAATTTACATTCCTTCATGTTAGCTGCTAACTAAAACATAAAGTAACAAACAAAAAGCAATAGTCATCAGTGAAATATAATAAATCAAAAATACTATAACACTGTTTATAATATCCAGAATGTGATCCAAAATCACTGCCATAAAAAAAACAGAATATGTAACTAAGGCCAAATAAAATGCAATAAACAGAGACCAATCCTGGGATGACTCACTTGGTAAAATTACCAAAAAAAAAATTTTTTTTAATTAGCCAAAATACATGGCTGACACTGACAAGGATCTACAAACTGTGGTACAGGGTTTCAGGGTAAATCCTGAGGGGATTTGACTGACCTTGTCAGATACAAAAGTTACATTTCTTAAGGGGCTGGGGAGATGGCTCAGTAGAATAAGTGCTTGCCTGGCAAAGCGCAAGGGCCTGAGTTCAATCCCCGGTTCCACAAAAAAAAAAAAAAAAGAAAGAAAGAAAAAGAAAAAAAAAGTTACATTTCTTGTTATATAGGTCTTGCTTTATTTTGGTCTTAACCATCCAGCAGAAAAGTATAAAAATGAGGTATAAAAAGTAAAGCCATATTAATATGCTGAGCTGGAAAAGGCTCAAGTCAACAACTTCTGACATTGCCAGTCCTACGGATAACCCACTACTGTTACAGACTACAGGACTATATTGGATTATTTTGCTGAACTCACACACCTACAATACTTAAATGGCAATGGAACACCCATCTCTGACAAAACTAAACAAAAAAGGGGATGCAAAGGAAGGACCATTTTGTATCTGTATATAGAGAATAGTTAGGATACAGCTACTTTCTCTTAATTCAATGAGAAGACAGACTTGTACTGATAGTGTTTGTACAGGATATCATGTCTACATCTTTTATTATGACTAACCACTACAAAGACAATTAATTAGTGAAATTATCCTACTAATCAGTTTTGAAACTGTCTCATTGCTATTTGTTTCTCAACAAAATTAATTAAAAAAGAAATTAGCCAAAATATTATAATCATGACATAGAGGGAGGTATTTTCATAACAAATGAGTAAATAAAAAATCTCTGACGAGAACACTTATTATAAAAAGAGCTAAGTGGAGTTAACTAAAGTTAACTAAAAATATAAATTTTAAAACATTTTTTATTCATTTTAATGAGAAAAGATAAAATAACAATGAAACAGTTTCAGGCAGGTTAGTAGGGCTGTTACAATACTTAATGCATTGCATATTATTGTCTTTGTAGTAGTTATTCAGGGGACAAGATGCAGACATGATATCTTGTCTAAACAATATGAAATTTTAAAAAATCATTAGATGTGCCTTATATCAGGCTGGTGCTAACAACAGAGTCAAAGAACAAGTGGATAGGCTAATGAAGTTATGCAACTATAGAACACAGGAAAAGTTTCCTTTATGAAACTGAATAGAATCTCATGCATGAATGAACTATTTCTAAAGGTCTAGCATATATCAAATGGGAGTCACTCACAGTAAGAGAGAATAGAAGAGAACAGAAAAACTATCAGAAGATATATGGCTAAAAATGTCCCAAATTATGACTTAAATATAAATCTATAGATTCAAGAAATTCAATAAACTACAAGCAAGGGGTTTTGGTTGATACACTGTGGCAGTTTGAGAAGTTTAGAAGGTTGACTAAGTGACTCAGAAGGGAGTCAGGGTCCTCACTTGGTAAAAACTGTCATTGTGTGCAAGAGAAGGGCATGGACATTATGTGAGTACTACACTCACCCCCACCCCCAGGTTAACTTGCTTACAGTAT